CACAGATAGCTCCACCATACATCGAGGATAGCAAACCATCCTCGTCTGGCTTCTACTACCTGTGGAGGCTCGCCAGCCCAGCCCTCTGACGGGATGGCGCAGCCCGATTGACCAACGCTGGGCTAGCGTGGCCGCCCTTCTAGACTGACCGCCGACCAAAGTGGCGTGTTGCCCCCCTGACTGGTAGGGCTCAACCACCAGGATTCCATTGGCCAGCTTACGGGTCGCCGGGCACGGCACAAACACCCGGGAGGCTAAGAGGAAGCTCCACACGCCGCCTCAACGCATGGGGTAAGGATAGGAGAGGAAAGTCGAGGGAAAGCGAACAGCTGTACAGGATATAATAAAAGGAGAAAGAATGGGAGAAAAGGGGAAGGAAAAGTCCAGGGTTTGGCAGAATTAGTAAGACTACCAAACCCCGAAACTCCCTGCCTGGGGCGTGGGGGCGACGCTCCCCATGTATCTTCTCTTGAAACGGGATCAAAGATCCGGCTTCAAAGTAGATACCCCTGCGGGAATATATGTATTATTATAAATTATGTATTTATTGAGTAGGTAATATTATTATAATTATTATAATAATAATTATTATTAGTATTATTATTATTGATTATTATTATCATTATTGTTGTTATTATTATTATAATTATTGTATTATTATTATGATTATTATTATAATTATTATTACTATTATAATATTAATATTATTATTATAATTATTTATTATTATTATTATCTATTATCATTATTATTATTATTATTATATTTGATGTTATTAAAATTCTTATGATGATTATTATAATTATTGTTATTATTATTATAATTATTGTATTATTATTATGATGATTATTATATTATTATAATTATTATTATTATTTATTATTATTATTTTTAAATAGCCGTAGGGCTTGTTACTCCCGTTAATCGGGTGTTCTGGCTTAACCGGACGCTCAAGCATATTCAAGGGGTAAAGCATCAATAGTGACCTCCTAGGTACTTGCATTTCCCTAAATTTTCTTACTATGCGGGCAGTTGCCCAGCAAAACTCCTTTCTGTATGATTTTGTAATGTTTTCACTCAGTTTCCAGCGCTTTGATGTTTTCTAGCAGCCTTCTGGTATCACCCCTGTAGATGACATTATTATTGGTATTGTTTCCACGTACTTCATTTTCCACTGGCGTTTAATTTGAAATTCTAGCTCCCGTATTTTGCAACTTTCTCATTATGTTTGTATGTTAAATTGTTACTATTTAGGTATGGCCACATCAATCAGTGTTACTTTCTGGGCGTCCTTGTCGACAATGATTATGTCAGGTCTGTTTTGTTTTATGTATTGGTCCGTAAGCACAGTGCGATCCCAGTATAGTTTATACTTGTCGTTCTCGAGGACACATTGCGGTGTATATTTGTAGTACTGTAGCTTGCATTCGATCAGTTTTGAAATTGTATGCCAACTCCTGGTGAATGATTTTGGCAGCTATGTCGTGGCGCTCCTTATAGTCCGTTGGAGCGAATGCTTGGCATCCACCAGTTACGTGCTGTATTGTTTCGGAGTCCTGACAGCCGTACCTGCATTTATCAGACTGTTGCAAGTTCTTAAGTATGAACCTCTTGTAATTGTTGGTAGGAATGACCTGGTCCTGTATAGCTACAAGGAATCCCTCAGTCTCAGGAACATTTGGCCTGAGGTAAGCCAATAGTTTGACGCTTTCTTGTCAACGTTTTCTTGGCTAATCTCGTTGGCATGTCTCCCATGTAGAGGTTTTCAATCCATCGTTGTAGCTTCTGTTCGTTGGTTTGGTGACTCGGTTGGTCATCTCGTCTACTAAGGTGTAAGGGCGTTGTGTCATCTATTGAGCATATGATGCGATGCAGCTCAGAGATCTCGGCCTTCTCAAAGAAGTAGGATCGCAAGGCGAGTACCTGTTGAGCTAGCTGCTTGCTGATGTCCATTAGACCTCTTCCTCCTAACTGTCGGGGTAAGGTTGTGCGCTCTATTGCACTGCGAGGATGGTGCGCTCCTTTTTTTGTTAGCATAGTCCTTACCCGCCTCTCTAGTTTCTCGATGTCAGTTTTACTCCACAGAACTATACCGAACGAGTAGTTCAAGGCAGAGCATGCGTAGGTGTTAATCGCCTTGACTAGATTCTTACTATTGAGTTCTGTTTTCAGAAGTAGCCGTATTCTTTTTGTGAAGGTCTGCGATATAGCTTCCTTCATTTTTTTATGGTCTATCCTTCGGGCCTGCGCCATTCCAAGGTACTTGTATGTGTCATTTGCGTCCATTGCGTCAATGTTTTGGCCTCTGCAGCTTGAAAATCCTCCAGGGTAGATGTTCCCCCTACGTATAGATAAGGTTTTGCATTTATCCATCCCAAATCGCATACTTATGTCATCTGAGAACTGACCGACTATCTCTAGCAGCTGTTTCATTTGATTCTCAGTAGCAGCTATTACCTTTAGGTCGTCCATATACAGCAAGTGGTTCAGTTTTATGGATGCGTTCCTGTTATCTTTCAGACTGTATCCATACCCTGTTGCATTTAAGAGGTTTGAGAGGGGATTTATAGCTAGGCAAAACCATAGGGGACTTAATGAATCACCCTGAAAGAGACCTCTTCGGATAGAGATCGTCTCAGTTTGAATGGTGCTGGTCCCGTTTGTATGCAGTGTTATTCTGGTTCTCCAGGTCTTCAGCATATGTTCTAATAGGGCCACTACATGCTCATCTACCTTATAGAGCCTCAGCACCCTGACAAGCCACTCATGAGGTACAGAATCGTATGCCTTCTGATAGTCGATGTACGTAATGTATAGGTTCCTTTTGTTGGTATAGGCTTGGTTACAGATGACTGAGTCGATAGCCAGCTGTTCTTTGCATCCCATAGCTCCCTTAGCACAGCCTTTTTGTTGTGGCGCAATAATATCGTTTTCTTCACAATGAGCATAAATTCGCTTCGATATACAAGCAGTGACCACCTTGTATAGCGTAGGAAGGCAGGTAATTGGGCGGTATTTTGCTGGGTCTTCTGTATTATTGTGATCTTTTGGTATTAATACCGTTAGCCCTTGTGTTAGGAACGTTGGAGTCTTATTTGGATTCAAAAGCATGTCATTGATATATCTTGTTAGTTGTTCATGCATGCACCAAAGCTTCTTTATCCAGTAGCCATGAATCTGGTCTGGGCCCGGGGCCTTCCAATTATGCAACTGCTTAACGATATCCACGATTTCTTGTTGGTATATGCCCTATACGGCATGGGATTGCAATAATGGCTCTTCGCTTCTTCATCTGTAATCCATCCTGCACACTTGTTGTAATAAGCTGTCGAGGCCAAACTGCTTGCCCCAAAATTCCTCTACTTGGTCCTTTGTGGGCACCGTTTGATCTTTTCCTGGGTTCGGATGACAGTTTCTGTAGAATGCCTTTTCGGATCGTTGAAAGAGCGCATTGTCGTGCTTTCTGTGACTGGACGCTTTATACCTTTTCAATCGCTGAGTATATACGGACAGTTTTTGCTTCAAGGTATCAAGGCATTGCCACTCGTTGATGTAGTTGCGTCTTGGTGAGAATGATGGTGGAGGTCGTTGCATTATTTCCTAGCTTGCTTCGGACTTTTCGAGTTGTTATTCCTCGTGTGATTGGGTAAGACGTCCGATATCTCTGCGAATTTCTGCCGTTCTTCTTTCCAGACGTTTTTCCCATTTTGGTGTTATTGGTTTTACTGAATTTTCAGTAATCTTTTGAGTTGGCATTTTGACACCAAGTGTTCTTACTGTTGCAACAGCTGCACAGTTATATCAGTGTGTGAAGTTGTTCTATACAGTTGGAGTGTGCTAAGATACTCTGGCAGGATCTGTTTATTAACTGACACAATACCACAGCAAGCTTTCTAGATGACTTCAACTTTGTAATGGTGGTCTTTCTAGCGGGTTCGTTCCATCAAATTCGGCATATGCTCTACCCATTTCAGTTATTAATATACCAAATATTTCTGTGTCTTGATCATTACTGTCGTCAACTCCAGGCTGTTCACTTTCTATCTGTTCTTTGCTCAGATTGACCATTATCGCGTATTTCGTTATTACTCCCTTCTTGTTGCATAAGATCAAGCTGCACTTCCTGTTGATGGCATTCAGCCGTGGTTGTGGGATAAGATTATTTTGATTATCACTCGATATTGGTCTGCCACTCTCTGCTGAGATACTTTGATCTCCGGATATTTCACTACAGAAAGCGGTATGAAGTCGTGGTCTGTAGCCGATTGTTTCTCTACCTAGGTTGGTAACTTTGTAGAAGATTCGCATGATTGACTCATTCATGGACACCGTCCACTTTATAACGTCTTCTAGGGAGACCTGCTTGAGTGAGCACTGGCTGAGATTCCTGTGCAGCACTTTCGGCAGCGGTGGCACTGTTGTTGTTTGGGTACCACTTTGTTGGGGGGCTGTTTGCTTCTTGGACGACAGGGGCCCGCCTCCTCAGCACCCTGCACGACGTCCCGCATGCTGCTTCATATCCAGCGCCGGCTCCAGATATGCCCTGACGATCACCCTCAGGCAGCGACCCTTTTTTCCGAGGCTATATTCAAAATTCATCTCCATAAAGAAATTATGGGTGTGGCTCTTTTTTATACGACTCCATCTAGGAGCCGATATGTACACATTCTGCACATGATATGTTTTTCCTGCCACCAGGAGGAGAGGACACAAAACCCCTGGCACACACTGGAGGATCGCTGGCTGTACCGTCTATCCTTGTTGTTGCTACGGTAGCGGGTTTGACACCTGCTGGCACAGTGTCCTAACCGGCCAGACCTATTTATTATTATTATTATATTATATTATTATTATTATTATTATTATTATTATTATTATTATTATAGTGAATACTCGAATTGCTTCTGTGGAACCAGCCCATGCTATGATACCGTATGAAATTGTGGAGTGGATATATGCAAAATAGTAGGTCAATAGCAAAGATCTATCGACCACAAAGCGTAGCTAACTGATGCAGTACAGGAATGGAGCGATCTTTTTGCATGCATAATCAATGTGAGCATTCCACTTTATGGATTCACAAAAATTTGACAAAGCCAACCTGCTGAATGGAACCACTGAGAGACTTGAGCAGCAAGCTGCAATCGAGGTTATGGTTTGTATATGAGAACTTTATAAACTCCGTCTTGCTTGCATTGAGCAGCAGCCCATTATCCAGGAACCATTGCTGTGTACGAGTACTCCGCAGTTCTTCAGTAGCACTTTCCGCCAGCGATATTACAAGTTGAAGAAGTAAATGATAAGAATTCTGAATAAACGTCTGCAGTGATGCATGAGAAATATACACAGTATTGTGAATAACTTTTAATAAAACTCGGATAGTTCCCTGTTCCCTTGTCGCCCAGCCTCGAAGTGTATGCACAAACAGTATTTGTATATTCTAGATATGAATGCCAACCCAAAGCTGATGAAAAAGAAATAACGAAATCTGGAGATATTGTGATACTACAGCTTTTTTCACGGGTACCCCTGCTGAGGTAAAAATAATATTTTCCCTATACGGGGTATTTCAAATTCGACCCTCACGATTGGGATCTCGGAAACTTTAAGGAATACGGAGTCGCTTAAATAGGGGCAAAGTTGCGTATTCAGATAATCAGCAAAATGTCGCTCAGAAAGTTTTGAAATTGAACGCAAAAAACGAAATTTCCCAAAATTCTTCTTCTCCTGACTTTATTTGCGATAGGATTTCAAAATAAGTTGCACATCAATTAGAATGTCAATATGACGTTTCGTATCTTGTCCTCCAGCACCAACTTATTTTTTTCTCTCTATTCGATGTTTACACACATTCTAATTTCAAAAATGTATGTCATACATTGACATTGCAAAACCTTAGTTATTCCAGAAGCTCCTAGGTAGGCCTTGAAATTATCAGATTTTATTTGTTCGCATAGCAGAGTTTGGAAGACTATAGAGAAATCTGCTTAGTTATGTTATTATTGTTATTATCATCAATAAAATTATGAAAAAGCAAAGCTGATGATGGAAGTCGAAAGAAGAAATGTCGAATTGAAAATTTGACTACGCCAAGAAATTCTTTTTTTTTTCGAAGTATATAGGTGAAAAATTAAAACTTCCGTCTTTTGTTGGGTACTTCGACAAAAATTTAAGCAAGGAGGACTCTTTATACTTTTTTTATTCTCTCTAGCTTTCAACGGACTTTGCCAGCATCATCAGGAACTGCAATTACATTGATAACAGCAGCAACCATAGTGTAAAATGAATTTAAATTAACTTACAGTAGTATGTGAGGATGTTGCTAATTGTTGTTTACGTTCAGGATGAGGGAAACACCCAGTAACATGGTGAAATTTGGATAAATGGTACAATGATCAAAATTATATAAAATACACACAGCTGTATGACAAGAACAAGTTAAAAACAGATTAAAAATTTTTAGAACATGAAAGCATTACATCGTGAAGCCACTTGATGATTGCACAAAATGGTGGGCGTTGGTGTCGATCCTACTGAGCATAATCTCACATTAAAATGCCACCCAAAACTAGCGGTAAGGCTGCCAAAAAAGCGGGCAAGGCGCAGAAGAATATCTCAAAATCTGACAAGAAAAAGAAGTGCAGGAGGAAGGAAAGTTACGCAATTTACACCTACAAAGTACTGAAGCAGGTACATCCCGATACGGGTATATCCAGCAAAGCGATGAGCATCATGAACAGCTTCGTCAACGATATTTTTGAACGTATCGCTGCGGAAGCATCCAGATTGGCACATTACAACAAACATACCACTCGACTTGTCATACAGCAGTATTTTATATAATTTCGACCATTGTACCAGTTATCCAACTTTCACCATGTTACTGGGTGTTTCCCTCATCCTGAACGTAAACAACAATTAGCAACATCCTCACATACTACTGTAAGTTAATTTAAATTCATTTTACACTATTGTTGCTACTGTTATCAATGTAATTTCAGCTCCTAATGATGATGGCAAAGTCCATTGAAAGCTAGAGAGAATAAAAAAAGTATAAACAGTCATCCTTGTTTAAATTTTTGTCGAAGTACCCAACAAAAGGCGGAAGCTTTAATTTTTCACCTAACTGGTCTAGACGACAATGAGCACGTCTCAAGTTATATATATATATATATATATATATATATATATATACCATTCAACAAAGTAACATGCAAGGGAATCATAAGACAAGTAGATACAAGCTTCACAATTGAAGAGATTATTAGCGCTATCGAATCTCCAATGAAAGTGTTAGATGCAAAAAGGCTCAATAGAAAAACCATAGTAGATGGCATTATAAAATACACGCCCACTGGTATCATACTAATAACATTTCAAGGCACAGTACGCCCCAGAGATATTTCTATTTACTATCTTCTCTTTCCCGTATTTACATATATACCCCCTGTCACTCAATGTTACTCTTGTCTCACTTATGGTCACACTAAGACCCAGTGTAAGGGAAAAAGAAGATGCTTTAATTGCGGTAATCCTGAACATAACGAAGAGGGGGAGGACTTTCACTGTCAAAGAAAATATTATCATTGCGATAGTCTGGAACACAGATCCAATTCGAAAGACTGCCCAGAGTACAAGAGGCAGGAAAAGATAAAACAACTTATGGTATTTGAAAATATTTCACACTTTGAGGCAAACGAGCTGTGTCCTAAAACGTATAAATCGCATAGTAATATGATAAACACAACCGACATAGCTTACAATAATAGAAACTTCCCAACAATCAGAAACCAGAATACAGCTCCTACCTCCGGAACAAGTCAAATAAATATAGCACAGAGAAGAACATTTGAATTTGCGAATACAATAAAAACAAAAAGGATCTTTCAACAAGCACTATCACAAACACCAAAAAAAAAAGAATAGTTGAACATAACACCGGATACAATAGAGAAAGTCACAATGAGAACCTAATAAACAGAAACGGTAGACAACAAAACAGTAAGGGACCAATAACAGTAAAAGCGCAAGTGCACAATAACGCTTCAAACACAGAAGCTCCATTCAACACACCTAAGACCCCTACTAGTACCCTTTACAGAAATAACACTAGAGAACAAGTAGATGAAATCGTTGAAAATTTAAAATACCTCAAACCCGAAACCCTAAGTAAAATTAAACAAATAGTACTTAATGATACAGACCGGACTGACAACGAATTTTACTGAAAATAAATTAAAAGTATGCACAATTTTATACGAATAGATGTTTGTGACCTAACCCCAAAATAGAGCGGTGATGCGGAACAGTAGAAAACTATGAAAATCAAGGAGCCCATAAAGGCGACCTACAATAATTGTAGGAACGACAAACGATACGGCCCTAAGCACCGATGTACGAGGGTATCTCATGAAGTTCTAGTTGCGAGAGTGTTACAATATTATTGAATCCGTCATTATATTCTTTATACAGGGTGACTTTGAAGTTGAGTCATTAATTTTCAGATAGTGATTGTAGAAGGAAGATGAACCAAAATATGTGTGTAAAAATAAAAAAAAAATTAATTTTTTTTTTTTACCTTGTTTTATAAAGTA